GATGATATGGTTGAACCTGATGAGGATGAAACACAGAAAGGAGCTGATTATAATGGGAAGATTCGAGTTTGGGGAAATTTGGTGGCCTTTCTAGAAAGGTTAGATGTTGAGTTTTTCAAGAGCTTGCAATGCATAGATCCACATACTCGTGAGTATGTTGAGAGACTGAGAGATGAACCGATGTTTTTGGTTCTTGCACAAGATGTCCAGAATTATCTAGAGCGAATTGGGGATTATAAATCAGCTGCAAAGGTTGCTTTAAGGAGTGTTGAGCTCATTTATTACAAGCCACAGGAGGTTTATGATGCTATGAGTAAACTGGCTGAGCGGACAGAAGAAGCAAATAATGGAGGTGAGGAGTCTAAAATGGTTGAGGAAAGTAGGGGTCCATCTCCATTTATTGTTATTCCTGAGGTCGTGCCTCGTAAGCCAACTTTTCCTGACAGTAGCAGAGTATTGATGGATAATCTAGTGTCTCTTATATACAAGTATGGTGACGAGCGGACCAAAGCCCGTGCTATGCTTTGTGATATTTATCACCATGCTCTTCTGGATGAGTTTTTAACTTCTCGGGACTTGTTGCTGATGAGTCACTTGCAGGACAACATCCAGCATATGGATATTTCCACCCAAATACTTTTTAACAGGGTTATGGCCCAGGTTGGTCTTTGTGCATTTCGCGTTGGTTTGATTGCTGAAGCACAGAGTTGTCTTTCTGAACTATATTCAGCTGGACGAGTTAGGGAATTACTTGCACAAGGTGTGTCACAAAGCCGATATTACGAGAAGACTCCCGAACAGGTACTGATCTATCCATACAGTTCATTGTCCTTGTTATGATGCAGGACAAAATTGAATAATTAAACAATCAAATCAATAACTTAATATTTATAAGATAATCATATGAATAGTTTACGTAATACTTAAGCTCGAGTACCCTATTTGTAGATACTAAAATACAACCAAAATGGAAAATTTTAAGTCTATCTAGAAATTCTTTTGAAATTTAGAAACAAGCTAATAATTAAATAATCTATACAAGAGAATAATTAAATAGTCCTAACTAATTAAAAAATAATAAACTCATACCATTAATAAGCTGATAGGTATTAGTTCCTAAACAAACTGAACACTTAATAATACATACACTTTAGAATTGTATCTCACTATTGGTATGTATGTACGCACATTAGTATCTTCCCATTCTCTGTTATTCTACCCCACTTGGTGAAAACTAAATATATAAGTTAGAACTTTTCTAATAATTGAAGCTTGCGAAATTTGAGTTTGTTGAGAAAACAAGAATGCTTCCAAAATTAAGAATTCTGAGTTTGTTTTGGAGTGTTTTTTAATTTAAAAAAAAAAAGAATTCTGAGACGTAGTGAACCAATTAGGAATCATAAAATTCATGAAAGGAAGAATATGCCAAACTTATTGCTGCTAGGAGCTAGGAAAATTTTTGAGGTAGTATCTTCAGGTGGAGTCTCTTTTTTCTTAAATCAATGAGGATGTTATCATTTCCAACCAAATTTACATTACTGCTTACAACTAAATTAAGATATCCATCATTAAGTGACTCAATTGTGCAGTAGAAATTACAGCATCTTTTTTTTTCTCCTATTAATCATCTATTAAAGTTACAAGTCACTAATTTCTACCAGGAAAGGTTGGAAAGAAGACGGCAGATGCCTTACCATATGCACATAAATCTTGAGTTACTGGAGGCCGTTCATTTAATCTCTGCAATGCTGCTTGAGGTTCCCAACATGGCAGCCAACAGCCATGACGCCAAGCGCAAGGTCATAAGTAAGACTTTTCGGCGGTTGCTGGAAGTGAATGGGAGACAAGCATTCACCGGCCCCCCTGAAAATGTCAAGGACCATATAGTGGCTGCCACCAGGGCCCTCCGCAAGGGAGACTTCCTGAAGGCCTTTGATGTTATAAACTCTCTTGATGTTTGGAAGCTCCTCAGGAACCGAGAGAGTGTCCTTGATATGGTAAAGGCCAAGATTAAGGAAGAAGCTTTGAGGACTTACCTGTTCTCGTATTCATCTTCTTGCAATTCACTAAGCTTGGACAAACTCAGCAAGATGTTTGACCTTTCGGACTTACAGACTCACAGCATCATTAGCAAGATGATGATCAATGAAGAACTGCATGCAAGTTGGGATCAGCCAACTAGCTGCATTGTCTTCCATGATGTTCAGCACGGCAGGCTGCAAACTTTGGCATTCCAGCTGACTGAAAAGTTATCTATCCTTGCTGAAAGCAATGAAAGAGCAATTGAGTCAAGGATTGGCAGTGGTGGCTTGGATCTGAATCTAAGGCGAAGGGACAGCCAGGATTATGCTGGAGCAGCAGCTTCTGGTGGTAGCAAGTGGCAAGACTTGTCTTTCAATCAAGGACGACAGGGTCCTGGTGGGCGATCTGGTAACAATGTTGGCGGTGGACGACAATCAGGACTAGCGCAGCCAGGAGGTGGATATTTGCGGACAAGCCAGCGAGGCTCAGGTGGATATACTGGGCGAGTGGCTGCAGTTAGAGGTTCACATACAGATTCTTCCAGCCGCATGGTTAGTCTCAATAGGGGAATTCGCGCATAGCAAAATACAGTTTTGTCTATTTTGGGAGACTAGAACTGCCGAACTACAGCCAAAAGCTAGTTGGTTTGAATTCTATTTTCCTACTTCTCAAATTCTAATAGGCTAGAAGTATCTTTCATTGTTTGAAACTGTTTTTGTTCTATATATCAAGAGAGATTCTCAAATGAAATTAACTTTGATATGTGATTTTTTGTATGCTTTATTGTCGGTTAAAAAATTTTGGATTCTTTGCAGCGTTCTTGGAACTTCTCGTTGATCTTCCGCCCGTCTATGGATTTATAATGTTCTAATACCAATACCAAGCCATTGTAATCTTAATGTTTCATTGAGCAATCTGTTGATATTGTTGGAATTATTTGTTAACACTGGAGTCTTAAGATTAAGATTACAATTACTGACATACAGAGAAAAGTATTAACAAATTTTTTGAACATTCCCATCTGCACTCCTTGAGCTTGGACACAGGTAATAAATATGAAGAAAATTTTCGAACATTTCATTGTTATTAGAACTAAAAAATTTAATATTGAGGTCAAAAGTTAAATACTGATTGTTTATAAAACAGGAATATCATACATTCTAAATACAACTCAATATCTCATTCTCATGAAAATGTTAAAGAAAATGAGATTTAAACAAGATTTTATTAGCAGCTATCGTAATTTTAATTATATGAATAACATATAAGTAATAATCTCCTTTAAATTCTTACATGTACGATATTAAATATAGTAGTTGTATTTACTCTTTTCTTTGTTTCTAAATCCGAATTTATCTTGAATGGCAATGATGAATATAATGATGATTACATTTATAATTTGTATTTGTAGTTGAAGTGGATAAAGCAGTGAAAGCATAAAATTCGATATAAGAACTAACATGAATTACTGTGATTAACTATAAATGAAGTAATGAAGTTTTTAGTATCTCGAAATAACTCAAAATTACAAGCATATTTGGGAACAATATGGATATTTTTTGCAGAGCTGCCAACTAAAAATGCTGGCTGAGGTGGGGAAAATTGAGAAAACATTCTGGTAAGTTAATAACATCTATAACCTTATATAAAGAAATAAGTTGGACTATCCTCAGGTGGAAAATTACTAATAGGTATTGAGAAAACGAGGACATCCATAACTTTAGATGGATGTCTAGTAGCAAGCAAAAGTAATTTTGAATATGTAATGAGAAAGAGAGGTTAAGTTGCATATCTGGTTAGTTTTCTGTAAAATCAAAGATTTCTTCTTTCGGGTTTGCTCACACTGTATTAAGAGGTCTGAACTCTTGATTCGGCATCCTCTAACACATGAGCTTTGTCTGAATTTTCTTCTCTGACTTCAGGTCAAGCATTTCTTTCTGCTTCCTCTGGCACAAGAGCCTTCTTCATGTTTTCTTCGCTAGCCTTGTTTTCTTCATCAACTTTGTTCAGGTCTTTGTTGCCAGCTCCTTCTAACACACGAGCTTTTTCTGTATTTTCTTCATTAATTTTGATCTGAGGTTCATCTTTGGCTCCTTCTGCCACATGAGCTCCCTCTTTGACTTCATTAATTTCATTCTGAGGTTTGTTTTCCGCTGCTCCTGCCACATAAGCATTGTTTTCTATGTTAACCTGGTTATGAGCTTTGCTTTCCGGTTCTTCTCCATCATTAGCATTCTCCGTGTTTTCTTCATTAGCCTTCCTGTGACCCTTGCTTTCAGCTTCTTCTAACAAATGAGATTTCTCGGTGTTTTCCTTGTTGACCTGGTCCTGAGTTTTGCTTTCTTCAGCTTCTTCTGTCATGTCAACTTTCTCTGTATCTTCTTCATTAACCTTGTTTCTGGGTTTAATTTCTAGTGGCCCAAGCTTTGCATCAAGATCCTTGACTATATATGTCAGAGATCTCGCATCACGGCCTCTAACTAGTCGAGCAGAAGATGACTGCAACACACAATCACCCCACTCAATCTTTTAGTGTTCACAGATAAATTTATGCAAAATCAGTGCCATAACAGGAAAAAGGAAGTGCAACAAGCTTATTGGTTTACTTTCAAATAAATTAAGCAATAGAGGTTCCAGACTGCCACTTCAAGCCACAAATCATTTTACAAAGTTAACCCAGAAACAAAAGAACCATCACCAGCCACTTGCCCTTGCTCTAAGACCCAGAAAAAAAAAAAAGAACTTGAGAGAAAACTGCCAATTCTAGATAAACTAGATGATAATAATTAATGCCTCGGATCTCTTTCTTCTATTTGAATATATTTGTTTTAAAAGGTAAAATTCTTTGAAATATTTTATTTCTCTATTTTTACTTAATTTTCTCAAGATTTCAAGTTTTCCATAATGGTACTTTGCACTATATATGGCACCTTTGTACCTTTTAGTAACAGCAAAATGATGATGACTATAACATACCAAGCAGTTTTTACATTCCAAATAGCTGTATGTTAATGATGAGCTCAAACGTTTGCATATCTAGACATCTCCAAACATATTTCATAATCTAATTTAGGATATTTTGCAAAGATTCTAACATCTCTTTTCATAGAGTCGTTTATTTAATGGTTTACATAATCTTATGACATAAATCCTGTTTAACATCCTTTTATTTTACTTTTCAGCAATGAAAAGATAAGTTAAACAAATGACAGTTTAGAAATAAGTGCAGTCTAGATTTGCAGGTTGTTAAAATGCTAGTGTGGTAACAAGTAAATCCTTGTTTTCAGGACAAAAAAAGTGCTAGTTGAAACTAAGTACATCCTTTTTAACAGAAATGTAGGCAAAACGAAAAGAACATTTTGCTTATATGAGCGCAACTCATGCATTTCCAAAAATGTTATTGTAAGAGATATCTCACCTTTTTCTAGCTGCTCTATGCGTTTCTTTC